AATCACGAGTATTTTCTCTACTATCATCTACCTCAGTTTCCTCACACATGTGTCTTCACGTCGACCACAGCATCCTCTCCATAAACGCAATGCCAAGAGAGACGGTTAGTCCCCACGCGACCCCCTGAAGATTCCACACCTGTTACCTCCAGCGCGGAGCGACATGGAACACCTCCTTAGATAGTAGCCATGGGGGGCGTCCTGACAAGAGTCCCAAACCACATAAACTGTCTCCAGTTGAGGTAAAGGAGCAGCTGTATCCTATTCTTCCCATCTGGGTGAGTTTCACCTTTTTTCCCATAAAGAATTGAAACATTTAAGTTTTTGGGTGGGGGAGACATCCACCAAAATAATGCCGGTTCTTAGTCCAGCAAACTGGTTTTGCTGTCACCCGGGGGGTAAACGGGGGGGGGGGGGGGGGGGCACTTATGCATAATGAACATGAATTTATAGGGACAATTAACAAGAAATATTCTGCTCAAGTGGTAAAGAAGTTTAATTCACAGGGTTGTTGAGTGCTGCAGAGAGGAGAAGCAATACTTCCATTACCCAGAATACCATTTAAAACGCTTGTGAATGTGATCAGGTTGCCGAATAGGACCAGACTGCTGGATATACAGACCATGACAACCATGAAGACCGCGTTTCATTCACAACAGAGAAGGTGTTTACCTAATGTACGTCAACCCATGCAAACCGTGTTTCTTGGAGCGGTCACAAGCTGGACGGACGCAACGAAACCGTCACCCATCGTCAGGCACGTTGAGTCGCACTTAAGATTGTCAACCTTTGGCCCACCATCAATTTGATTTGATTTATTTATTTATTTCCCAGCCACAACACACCAAGGACCAGCTTAGAATTAGTACACAAAGGGGATTGAGGTCTGTTGCAGGGAAACCGAATGGCTGGTTCCATGTTCACAGAGTGGGTGGTGCTCTCCGCCCCATGGGGGTCCAGCTCCACCCGTTCATAGCAGCCACCGGTTGTCCCAAAATCAATACATTCACACACGGGGCCCAAACACACGTTACCAACGAATCCACCTCGTGACCCGGACTCACACACACCGTTCAGCCGACAGGTGCTGTAATCCCCCACCCCCCCCTGTAGACCCACCTGGCCGGGTACTCCTCCTTCCTGTGGATGCAGATGGCCTGTCCCCTGCAGTACCACTGGTTGTCGTAGAAAAGCCGGCCGTCCTCGAAGCGCGCCACATGCTGCTGTCGTTCAGGCTTGACTGGAGGGACAGTGAAGGAGGGACGTTTAGAAGAAACACAGAGCGGAGAGGAAAAGCGAGGCCAAGGAGAGTAACAGCAGTCTCCTGCTCAACTATAAACTTTTTTGTTCTAGAAAAAAAAGAATTGAATCGGCGGCTCCTCGACGCCTGTGGGTCGATGGTTGCACTCAGCCAGACATTGACTGTAACCGAGGACAAGGAGAGGCTCTTACCGTCCACCTTCACCCGGTGCGGCGCCAACGATGCCATCGCCTGTGGAGCAGACACACGTAAGAAGAGTAAAAAGTCAAATCACAAAACACAGTGAGCGGGCCACCGCTTTGTGCGATTCCACAGCACCTTTCTTATGGCGGTCCAGTCCTCCAGAATGTCAAGATCCTGCAGCATGTAAACGATATAAGGCCGTAACGGAGCGGTTAAGGACAAATGTGCCGTGAAGCGGGAGGAAGCATCTGTGTGAGCAGCAGGTCGCTGAGGTGAAACGTGGTGCGGAGGAATGATGAGGAATACGGGGAAAGGATATCAGAGACAACGACAGGCTTCTTCTTCTTCACGGGGCAGAACGGGTCTTTCTTCTTGTTTTTCCGTGAGTGTAATCCATCATTCCACAACTCTGGAGAGCAGAGGGGACAGATTACAGAGAAACCATCATGTTTGCTGTTCTTCATCAAAGGCCATCTGTATAGTCCGGGACGGTTCTTTAATGAGACTAACCCAAACAATTTATTGACGTGGTCCGGTTGCAGATTTCAATTTGAATCAATTAATCGTTTTATTTGCCGTTAAACCAAATGGGCGTGACGAATGCTTTACTTTATTTCACAACTGTAGAAGGTGAATGTTGTGGATGGAGGTACCTGAGGTGATGTCAATACTGTGTCTGTCTTCCTCCAGCCGTCTTATCTTCTCCTCCAGTTCACTCTGCACAGTGTCCAACAGCAGCAGCTTCTCACTCTGGGAGATCAATAAAACAATTGCTCATCATAACCTCCAGGGGTAGACAGACACTGAATGTGGTTTAGGGGGGGTTAGAGTACGGGGGCTTAATCCCAAACCCCCAACAATAGAATGCACATCCACCATTGAAGAGGCAGCACTCTACTGGAACGAGGTATATTGCGAGATAACAATCCAAACCTGACCCCCCCGCATGAGCCCTGACTCATTGGTTGACCTCTCACCTCCCAGTGTTGGCAGGCCGCCTGGATCTCACACTCGTACTTGTTCTTCACGGACTCCAAGCACAGCTCCTTGTAGATCCCTGTGACGAGCGTGACACTTTAAACCAACAGGACCATACAGCTTTTAAACTGCAAAAAAACTATTTAGTTGGGTTGCATATTATTAAAAGATGAGATCTGCGCTCTCTTCCAGCATAAAGGTGTGACATGTGGAGGTAAAGAAGTCAAACAAACAGTTTGCTCATCGCATTGATTGAATTGTCCTCGAGGCCTGCTGGAGAGACAACGCTTCCTCCGACTCCACCATTGACCCCAGTGTAAATATTTAACCAGTAATATCAAGTTGACCCACCGGCGACTTTGGTCCTGATCTGCATGTTCTCCTGCAGGTTGGCCAAAGGTTCCAGGTACTCGTGGGCACAGCCGGCCATTACCTCCTGCAGCTTGATGTCCACCTGGCTCAGGCGCTCCTTGTACAAACTGGACAGCAAAACAAGGACCGTTTGCTTTAGCTCACTTCAGCATGTTTGTGGGCCAAACAAAGTCTTACAGGTAAGTACATGAGAAAACACTCAAGAGGGGTTTAAGAGCAGAATAAAGGAGAATTGCCCCCAAATAGCTTCTCACAGCAGTAGTGTCCTCGTCTCTCTGAAACATCTACAGCAGGACGCAGTTTCGGGCCGTGGCCACTGCCAAAGGACCCCTGGGACCCTCAACCGCCCACTCACGTCCTTTATGTACAGAACTTATACAGGGGACAGAAGCCTGTGAGACGCCTTTGCACTCGAGCAAAGTTCCAAAGACAAGCATCTCACACGGATTCAACTCTAACATGAAGTCCACTGTTGAGACGGACCAGACAGCAGGGGGGGGGGGACATGGAAGGGACCTACTGCTCCTTCAGGTCAGTGAACTGCTTCTCCAGGGTTGTCATCTCATCCAGGCACTCCATCCTCCTCCTCTCGCAGTCCTCATTGTCCATCTCTGTCCACAAAGACATGACAGGCCTGCCTTCACCTCCACATCACATGTGTTGCAGCATTGGGAATAGCACACAGAACCCCCGTGAGACAGACGGGGACATTTAACTGAGGCCGGGGACACATTTAAGGCCTAACGACGTGTTTCCTACCCGAGCTGTCTCCATCTTCGGACACCGACGAGCTAACGGTGTCCTCCTCGTCCGTGCTGCTGCCGTCCTGCTCGGGGAAGTCCACCTCCATTTCTTCGTGGTTACTTTCTTTCTTCTCGCGGGAGTGGACCGGCATTGGGACTCCCGGCCGGCCGTGAGGCGGCTGCTCGTTCAGTTCAGCCCGAATAAAGAGGCAAACGCGCCTCCAGCAGCTAACCGGTTAGCATTAGCCAGCCCGCATCTAGACAGCTGGGAGGGCAAACACGGGCAGCGTCGGCCAATCACAGGGAGCCTTACTGCGCCTCGTCCAATGAGATGCTGCCGTGGGAGACGCGTCAATAGACAGAGACTTTGGGGACTTGTAGTTTCTAAAAGGTTTCCCCGGTAACTGACCGCGGTGGGATGTGGCTAATGTCACTGACTGCATTGATTTGTTTGGAAACATTACATCATTAATACATAATATGTAGTTTGTTTCACAATAGGACACGTTTTTTAATCCAGTAATATACGTGAAGGCGTTATTTAAATGAAGCGTGATTAGCCTACAATGGCCACCCACCTTCTGGGTAGAAATAACAACAGCTTCGTGTGATGCCACAAAGGAAGAATCATATGTGCTGACTCATGATGAGAATGTGCTTCATGGTGTCTGAGTCATCGGGGGAACTTGAAGCAGACGGGCGGCGAATGGTGACCTGCTGCACTCACCTGGGTGTCACTGATGGACACAATGTACACCTGCTCACTGTATGTGCTAATTAACAAAAAGACAAAAAGTCCAATCTTATTGATTGTCTCGGTAAAAGACACTTTATTACTAGTGACTACTAAAGTGCTATACTGGTTAAACGCAGATACATTGACTTAGAGATTTGACTAAACCAACCTGAGGAATGATAATTCAACATCCATGTGAATCACTGTTGTTGTAAACGTAAATACGGTCAATGTATGAATTAAATCGTCATTTTATCCAAAGCGACTTACGTTGCATTTTTAACGCGTGGCTTTACATTTACAGATCGATTAGGGATCAGGAGCCTTGCTCAGGGACATGGAGCAGCCAGGAATCGAACCATAAACCTTGCAGTTCCCGGTGAACCCTCTCAACTCGCCAGTGTCGCCCTAGATGCTAAAGAGCCGCTGGCTTTAAAAGGCAAAAGCAGACATTTCTTCCCCGGTGAGCAAATGCAGATTCTACCGAAAGTGCACTGCACACAAACTATAGTAGATGATTTTATCCACATGCTGACCTGCTGTTTGTGTATGTGCTATTCCCATGAGATCCACAGGAAGGCGGTAGAGCCTTTTGCCAGATGGTCAAACAGTAACTCATCACATTTTCAATCATGATCCCTCCCTGGAGAGTGAAATCTGGACTCAAACTGGAAATGAATAACATTGATAAAAGAAAAACAAGTAATAACTGGATGATTGGATATGTAGATAAATGGATGAATGAACATACAGATCTGTACATTGATCACAATTTCCAGCAAGGTGTTTATATGCTACAAAAAGGCCTAATGTCACAATTAACATGTTGTGTAATTTAAGTGAAAATTTAGGCACCCCAATGTGTCTTGACATCAAACAACAGAAAAAGGCTGTTTTTAAATCCGACACAATCGCTGACAGACAGAATTCCTGCTCAAACCTCAGAATGAATATTAGACATAAGATTATTAAAGAGTGCTGCCAGTCAGATCATTCTTACATTGCTGTGTGCTGCTCTCATTTTCATCTAGGGCAGTAAAGCGTGCTAGTAGAAAGTCAGTAGCTGACTTTGTGGTTTATTTCATAAAATTGTGGGGGCTTTTTGCCACTTGTGGTCTCAAACGGTCCAGTTCATTAGGGATTTCTGACAAAATGGATGATCTAGTTGCAGAAAAAGGAATGTATGAGAAACTGAGGAATGAGCAGAAAACCAAATAGGGAACCACAGTTTTATGTTAAGTTAGCATGTTTTCCAAGTCTCTTCCAATTTAATTATTCAAAGCTGTGCTAAAACTCTGTCTCTGCAGTTTTTCGTGCAATGTTACTGACATAAAAAAGGCTTTGTGCATTCACAAGAGAGAAAGCATTCTGATAACAAAACTGCAAGTTGCTGTAAATTTACGGGCATTTAAAATTACCAGTATTGTTTTATTAGTATGCTTGTTGAACTGTTAACTTAGATCATGTTTCATTTTGTATGTTTTAATACATCAGGTTGATAATATTGGCAAAGCTAACTATGGCTCCATTAGCCTTAAGAAGGTTAGCTAGCTAACAGCATAGGCAGTAAAGTTAACGTGTTTAAAGGGAATCACCAATTACTACTGCTACTAATAATAATAATAGGAAACGTTAGTTACTTAACATGTATTAATTTACTACTATAGCGGGAGTTACCACAGTGCAAGTTTTAGTTTGAACAGTGAAAGTATTTTTTGGTTAAATATAGTTTTGACTCAGTTCTTTCATTTTTAATTTACATGTATACTTTTTGATATTCGCGCTATCATATTTTTCAGTTGTAGATTTTAAATGTCCAGATTCAAATCTTATATTTTCAAGTTTTAAAGATTTTTTTCACTTTCGGATCGTATTTTTTCTACATTCAATTCAATTCAATTCATTTTATTTTGTAGAGCCCAAAATCGCAAATTACAAATTGGCCTCAGAGGGCTTTATAGTCTGTACACATACGACGTCCTCTGTCCCGAAACCCACCATCGGCACAGGAAAAACTCCCCAAAAAATTAAAAAACCCTTCCAAGAGGGAAAAAAAGGGAAGAAACCTTAAGGAGAACGTCAGAGGAGGATCCCAGGAGCTCGGTGTGTCCTAAGAAGTCCCCCGGCAGTCTAAGCCTATAGCAGCTTAACTAAGGGCTGGTCCGGGCTCACCTGAGCCAGCCCAAACTATAGGCACAATCAAAGAGGAAAGTTTTAAGTTTTACTTTAAAAGAGCTGACCGAATCTGCCCCCCGGACTGAAAGTGGAACCTGGTTCCACAAAAGAGAAGCTTGATATCTCAGAACATTCAGACTTTTAACCCTAATGTGGCGCCGGGGGAGTGACATTAACTGAGAGTGACGCGTAATCATGAGTGAAAGCTCAACAAATGAGGCTGGAAATCTTCCTCAACCACATTGCCTTCAGGAAACGTAGGCACCCCGACACTTATGAATCAACACTTTCCATGCATTCTTTTTTGATTCGATGTAAAACCTTTGACTCCAGTGACAAAGTTCTGCTTAGCGAGCTGTTTTGGACCCCACTTGCAATGAATCTCAGATTGTACAACAACCACACGGAATCTTCTCGCTATTAAGCTTTTATGAAGTGAAATGAAGAATACCATCAAACAGAACTTGTCTTTAAAATATTATATTGTATTCTTGCAAGAAGTACAGTTGTAAAGAGTCACAGAAGTGCAGAAGTGTGCGCTGTAGATTACAGCTCGTACAGAGTAATAAAGCGAGTGATCAAAGGTGGGGGCCTAACCCCATCCTCAGGGCCTAGAACATGTGAACATACAATAAGTACTTATCTGTTGAGAAGAAGAGGACCTGTGTACAGGCAGTCAGCTGCATGGATCACGATGCACGCATATGATTGTCTGCAACACAACAAAAACAGTCCTATTTTATAAGAATATAAAATACTTTCAAACAGTAAGATATTTAGACTACATTTATTTAGATATTCATGTTCATGTTCGCTCATTTAAGGCTGCAGATCTAAAGAGTCCAGAGCAAAAATACAGCATTTAAGCATTTACAGAATACATTTAATAGAGATATATTCTAAGTAGGGCGGCACGGTGGGGTGGTGGTTTTCACTGTCGCCTCACAGCAAGAAGGTCTTGGGTTCCGCCCAGTGGCCTTTCTGTGTGGTTCTCTCCGGGTTCTCCGGCTTCCTCCCACAGTCCAAAGATGCTCTGGGGATCAGGTTGATTGGGGACTCGTTGGCTGGGATTGACTCCAGCCCCCCTGTGTGCAGTGTGAAGATGGATAGATGGATATTCTAAGGCGTTTTCCATTGGGGAACGCAACGTGGCGTCCATGCGATGGCGCCTCAGTTAAGTAAAGTATGCAAGATATCCACAGATTTGTTTGGGGTCTGTGTTTTAACAACGTTCCGCTGACGAGCTATTGAACTGGGAAGTTCGAATCTGTGAACATGTTGCCAAATTTACTGAACAGCAAAGTTGATCATTTTGTTATAATACAAATGGCCCCTTTAATTTGTCGCCGTGGCGCACGGGGTAGAGCGGGTGCACTGGGAACCGCTGGGAACCGCAGGGTTGGTTGTTCAAGTCCCGGCTGCCCCATGTTCCATGTCGAAGTGTCCCTGAGCAAGACACCTAACCCCTAATTGCTCCCTGGGCAAAAATGTAAAAAGCCATGGGTTTAAAGTGTAATGTAAGTCGCTTTGGATAAAAGCGTCTGCTAAATGACCTGTAATGTAATGTTAAAGACGTGTATTAACCTGAAATAATGAAGTCATTTATTTGTATATCTTGTCTTATTTGTGTGGATTACCCTTCATAAGTAAACGGTAGCATTCTGTAAAAGGACCTTACACCCCAGTTATCCTGCTATTACTACCGTAATCCAGTATACGGCAAGATATTGTAATAATGAAATACAGTGGAGCTAGAAATTTATTTACAATATTTAGGATCAGGTGAGAAGTAGACAGATTTTATTATTAAATGCTGTATGAATGAGACCATATAAATGCATTTAGGAAGACTAAAACGTTATATATAATATATATATATATAATATTTAAGATTGAATTAGTATAATAATAATAATAATAATTACCAGATCCAAACAAAAATCTGGTAAAACCTCACGTACGGACCCGGACCCAGCCTATGGGAAGGACTGGTCTAACACCGTGGGAATGCCTGCAGAGGGAAATCAAGGTATATCCCCTTCTCTGAAAAACACCCACGGTTCCTCGAAAAATAAGCATTTTCAGATTCAGTGTGAAACCGAGGGGAGGCTCTCGCCACCGGGTTTGAAAGTTTCACTTGTCTGCATGTTGGATGTTTCACACTCAGTTGAAGCTACAACCAAATAAAGACTTGACACGCTCAATGAATTTTCCTCACCAACGTCTTAAGTTCATCACATCCTACTGAAACCAGAGAACGTTCTTTAACAGCGTTTCTCGGTTTTTTTTCTGGAAAACACACATTAATCTTTGTCTACGTAATGTCCTGTTGCTACGCCTCAGCACTTCATTCTCCTCATGACGCCATTAAAATCATGGCAAACGGCGAATGACAGACATTTCTGGATTGTATGAGATAACACGCACCAGCTCGCAGGCTTGTGGTTAAGTCCCTCTGACTAAGATACAGCCTGACACATCGATAGACAGCAAGCATGTTGGGCTGCTGATACTAAAATACTCCTTTTGTCACTGAAACGTGAAGTGGGTGTAGTTTTAGTGAACTGTGGGTGTAGAGCTGCCGTGTCGCCGAGCCCACATGAGAAACGCACCGCTTCTGGCTGACCATCCAGTGAGTGATCGCTGAATAAAAGGAGCTTCCTTCTGAAACGAGGGGAAAGATGTCGTGCATCGATATCTGGTAGCGGATCATCGCTACAAACAACATCACATATTCTGAAGGAAATACTCTGGTCGTTTATAACAATGGGACAAAGTAGCCTGGACAAACAGATAAGAAAGCACATTAAACAAATAGTTTAACATTTTGGGAATTAGGCTTGTTTGCTTTTTGCCACAATTTAGATCAAATCATTGGCTCGAGCTAGGAGGCCATTAGCTGCAAGACAGGAAGCAGTACACAACATACACATACAGATAAAAGTGAGATACGGGTGGATCTGTATTGCAAATAGAGCTACAGCTAGGAAGCTGGTTAAAGGCTGAACGCAGGCAGATACAGATAGCTGACTCTGCACACTTTAAAAACATTACTCAAATCAGCTCGTTTAAAGCTTTACTATCACATTTTGTAATTTCCTCTAAGATCAACAACCCAATGTAACGAAACGGACCAAGTGAAAAGTTAGATAAGATTGACAGTTCAATAATCATGAAGACAAAAAATACTTTGCATTTGGTACGGGAAGCGTAACATTACTTCAAGAGGTGAGGAAATGAGGAAAAATGAAACGTGCTCAGGATGAACTGAGACTGTCTGGTCCATCAAAAACGACTTATAAACAGTTTAAATAATAAAAATAGCATCATTCATTACAGTAGATGTAGATGGATTGGGATTCACTGAACTTTTGTAAAGGTGTGTATTTCCACCACCACAAAAAATACTGTATCGTTCTTGTAATGAGGGCTTGATAGCTGCAGGAACGCAACTGCGGCGCGTTGGGGACGCGTGACCACAGCGCTGCATCGATCAGAACGCTGAGGCGGCTGTGATTTGTTAGGAGTTAGAGCGGAAAAGCACGGCAAGCGGTGGAAATATGTGTGATCATGACTACTGGTATGATTATAGTTTGTGTGTTATAAGGTATCACGTCATTGTAGTATAGTATAACCATTACTGTGAAATGAATTGCAATCTATTGGGTAAAAACCTCCAGCTGCAGCTTTTCCTCCTCCAGCCACTCAAAGTGAATCACACCCCATCTTAACCATTATGTTTAGCTCATTTCATACGGTGCAACATCAAACCGCTGACACAGAGCCCGTCAATCTGCACACATGCGACATGTCCCAAAACGCCCCTTTTACAAAACACCGTCTCCGGAAGACGCCTCAGGACGGATGTCAAAGTTGTGTCCCTCCTTCCAGGGTGGACAAAGGACAATCAATGTCTTGTGTACAGTTTGGACTTACTTATAAGATATACAATGTGTTTAATCTTTTTTATTGAGTAATATTGAGGGGTGTGTGTGTGTGTGTGTTTGTGTAGTTCTATAACAAAGCAATACACTGCTAATAAGCAATAACCGGACACTTACACAAGCGTGCAGCAAAGCAAGCATGCCATTAGCGTTAGCCTTCGGCTAGCAGACTTTATGCTAATACATGAACGTGTTTTGATCTAAACATACTTCACACATAAATACATACTTAAGGCACATAACTATGTATCACCAGGACATTCTTACTGGACACACGCATGGAAGACATTGACAGTGAAACTTGTCCAATCTACAACTTTCTCTCTCGCCCGCCTGCTGCAGCAGCAACTACTTAAGGTGCTTTCAGGTCAAGACTTCAGCGACCTGCCCCCCCCCCACCCCCCCCTCCGTCCATTGCGTGCAGCACGAATGGCGCAATTCATGGAAACTGACCCGGGAGTACGCGGTGCGTTAAGAACGTTTAAGCGATTCGCATTTGGTGGGAGTGCACGATTAGCGACAACAGGTACGCGTTACAAGCGTGCCCACAACAAGGGCTCTGATTGGCTGATTATTTCAGTCCCACTAACGACTAGTGAAGCCTTTCAATAAAATGCTAAATTACGGTACTCTGCTGTTATTGTTAATTGACGGCATTAACTGTTCATTTACATGCAAGTGATGAACATTTGACTGTATGTTACAGTTGTTATGAAATACTGTAAGATACCCTTAAAAATTCATTGTAACAGCAATTACGGCAACTTTTTTTTAATAGGCCGTGCCGTCCTGATGCTGTAATTTTTTGAAGCGGTGTTCATTTGAATGAAAATCGTTTTTGCAGGCTGTCTGCTGCCCAATTGGATTATGCTGAGGGCTGTTATAATATCACGAGGGTAACCTGTGAACCCCACGTCACCTCAGTGAACAACACAGACAGGCTCCAAAGTGATCGTACAGTGGAATCAACACTGAACACTTCCACAATAAGCTGATCATTACAACCCTGTGAGGGTAGGATTTACTGTAATTAAGTTTAGCTGCACAGGGAACCGCACCTTTTGAAAGGATTTAGGGTGAGGTTGCTCTTAGTCCATTAATAGAGAAAAGGGCATAGTTCCGTGACTTTGGAGCTTCACCAACCGGTTGTGAGGCCCCCTGGGGCCCTGCACCGACTCAGATCAGTGGTGCTTTTCTACCTAACAGACAGAGGGCAATGTCAGCTCTCAACGATGAACTGGCGTCAGAGCTTTTTCAGCACAGCTTCACAAGAAAAAAAATAAACCGGATGTAAAGTGGAAGTCCCAGTATTTCCCATGTGAGGTAAATATTTGGTCACGTCAAAACACAGTCACGCAATCTTGACATCGGGAGAAATACCGCAGGGCTGCAAGAACAGTTTGTCCCAATATGCCCCGCGGTGAAGCCCGCGGCGGAGCGTTTCGTGACATGTCGCATGTGTGCAGATTGACGGGCTCCGTGTCAGCGGTTTGATGTTGGACCGTATGAAATGAGCTAAACATAATGGTACCCAATAGATTGCAATCTTTTATATTGAGTATTATTGAGGGTGTGTGTGTGTGTGTGTGTATGTTTCTGTAGTTCTATAACAAAGCAGGAACCAAGAAATACCAGCACACTGCTACACTTACTGAACCTGAACAATGAGCAATAACTGTCTGTCTACAAACAAATACAAAAACCACACGGGCCGCGAGAACAGTTTGTCCCAGTACGCCTCGCGGTGAAACTGGGCAGAGAATAAAGAATGCGTGGAATTCAAGTGTAATACATGGGACTCCATGGCTGCAAGTAGGAGGGATTTGTCTCATCAGATGCACCCACATGATGACATCACATACCTGCCACTGGGAATGTACGTGTGTGTGTGTTGCACAATAGAGGTGTGAATGCTGCACTGCTCCCGGATACCGTTGCTATGTTTTCACCAAGCCTACATATCACAATACAATGTAAACAGAAGGTCTACGTGGAGTTTTATCTCAAATGTCAAGACGATTAGGTCCGTCACGCACCATGTTGTGTAACAGTTGCGTTTCCTCCTTTAAGACTCAGAATTAACGATAGTAAGTGCAGAAAAAAAGCGATCACAAGGAAAAGTTACAACACCGTGAAAAATATTCTCAACTCCTAACAGCGTGTTTTCCAGGGTCAAAGGATCGTTTGTGCAGCAGCGTGTGCGATATTAGACGGGTGAGTCCAGAACATCCTATCGTGGAACGAGCAGTGTTGGTTTCATAAGTGAGTCTCCACGAGGAAACCAGTCCTTCTCCTTCCTCTGCACTTTGTAGCGTAACCATGCACGGACCACATGCACTGTATTATCAAATCACACCGCAGGTTACACAAAGTCTGAACGCTATAACTTGCTTGTTGGCACTTTTGAGTGTAACATTATTTGACGTGGACCCAAAATGCATGTAGAATAAACATATACTTAATGAACAGAAACATACAAACCTGTTTACGTGGTTTTATTTGGCTGGAGAGAGAGAGGGGCCTAGTGATGCTAACTAATCTGATAAACACACCCGTTAAGTCAAACAGCACTTTACCTTGTGCATGCAGAAATAATATCAGTGTGCACCGTTAAGACATTCAACACTGTCTTTGCAAACGGATTTACATAACGCCAAAAAGTAAGACATGACTGCGTATGTGCGTTAATGTATGTATGCATGTATTTTTGCACTTGAAATATATAATTTCCCCGGTTCGGCGAGGGAATTCTTTGCGGCTGGCTGCCTCTCTCAGTCACACCCAGGTGTCTCATTCACTGACATAAATAATCACATGTTGCCGACATGAAAATAGTCTATTAGGAAACTACACGTTTTCATTCTGAGTCTGTTTAGGAGGGAGGGGGAGGGACGGTGGCGGGTGGAGGGGGGGATTTTCTCACAAAAGCACACGCTCGGTGTGATTTCCCTCGGCGGCCCTTAGATAAGTCAGCCGGAATTCCCCGCCGAGGCTCCGCCCCCCGAGCGCACAAAACCCAGCGCGCGTCCCGCAGCCGCGCCACTCCGCCCCGCGCCTCCGCACGCAGACGACGCTCCCCCCCCCCCGCTCCCCAACGCAGAGACACCATGGACGTGCGCAGAGTGTCGAACCGCGACCCGATGGATTATAACCTGGACAGCATGGAGCCCAAACACGGCAAGGCGGCGCCCTGCCAGGACGAGCGCCTGGACAGCGGCGTGGACTCCATGAAGGAGGACGAGCTCGTGAACGCCTTCGAGGAGCTGCACGTAAAAATGACGAGCGACGAGCTCGCGGCGGAGCACGAGCCGTGGAGATCCGCGGTGACCGACGACGGCGACACGTAAGTTGTCTCCTGCATTCTCCGTAATGTGGACAAGTGGACGATTCTTCCTTCAGACGGGAGTTTCGCCTCTAAAATCGCTAAAAGGGAAAAAAAGCTGCAACGGCGCGCGCGGAAATGTCGAAAGTTGCCTTTAAAAAGCGCGTGCACGTCCTAAGTCGATGTGTGTGTGTGAGCGCGCGCGCGCTTTGGCCGCGGGCGCAGTGTGGGCGGGGCCTAGGGTGCGCGCGCGGCGGCGCGCTCAGGAAAGTCCCTGGCCCGCTGCCAGGAACTGATAAAGCATCAGATGCCGCTGGGTGGAAATAACCCCGCAAAAGTCCGCTCTTGCGAAACGCTCCACCTCCGGGCCTCCGCTCCTTCCTACTTGGACCACTTCTTCCTCGCTCAAATCCTTTTTGTGAGTAACTCGAGTAACCCTCTTTTTCTCCCCCCCCCCCCCAGGCTCCTCCACTTGGCCGTCATCCAAGAAGCCGCAGAACACGCGGCTCAGATGATCAAACTTTCTCACCATCACCCCTTCCTCAACGCGCAGAATCACCAGAGACAGGTAACGACCCCCAAAAGACCCACACCCCCCCCTCCTCGAGCGCGCACGTCAACGGCTGAATGGCGATTTGACGCGTTTCCTTTGACGTTTCCCCCCCCAGACGGCGCTCCACCTGGCGGTGATCACAGAGCAGCCCGGCTTGGTGGAGCGGCTCCTGAAGGCCGGCTGTGACCCGCGTCTGGCCGACGACGGCGGCAACACGGCTCTCCACATCGCCTGCAAGAAGGGCTCCCTGGCCTGCTTCGGCGTCATCACCCAGAGCTGCCAGCGCCACGTCGCCTCCCTGGCGTCCTTCCCCAACTACAGTGGTGAGAGCGCAGCTGGAACGGCACCCGCCATGATGACGATGACGCGTGCGGCATTTCGCGCGCCGATGGTTCTGGAATTTGGTCGGTAACCGTGCTCTTCCATATCTCCGCAGGACACAACTGCCTCCACTTGGCGTCCATCAACGGCTTCATCTCATTGGTCGAGAGCCTCGTTCGGCTGGGCGCAGACCTCAACGCGCAGGTATGTGTCATCGGCCGGATTAACAAAAGGCACGCCCCCCCCCCGTCCCCCCGGCGCTGCAGCAAGCTAACGGCGTGTCTCTCTACGTGGTCGCTCACAGGAACAGTGCAGCGGGCGGACGTCGCTCCATCTGGCCGTGGATCTCCAGAACCCCGCGCTGGTGCGCCGCCTCCTGGAGCTCGGCGCCGACGTGAACTGCGTGAACTACGGCGGCTTCACGGCGTACCACCTGACGTACGGGCGCCAGAGCGAGGAGATCCGCCGGCAGCTGTACGAGAGGACGGCTCAGGAGCTCAGGCAGCTGCCCGACAGCGAATCAGACGACAGCGATATGGAGGACATGGATTCATCGGAGGACGAGGTGCGTTTTCGGAGTCGAGGGGCCCTCAAAAGCGCCTGCAGGTTCCTCCTCCTCCTTCTTTAAAGTCGGGGTTGCTGACGTCTCTTTATTCTCTCCTGCAGCTGTACGATGACATCCAGTTCGGGAAGTAAACGGAAGCATCCCGTCTGCCGGTGGTGTGAACGACTGTGAAGCTGCTGCTATGGTGCACGGCCAAACCCCCCCCAGCGAGGGACCACGAGTGCTGGTCCTGGGACCAAAGGAACGTGGCTCGTGACGGTGTCCGGTCTGGTCTAGCCGGGTTCGGATCACAGAACGATCCGAAACGACCACCATGTAGACCATCTGTATACTGTAATGTACTGTGTGTACTCCAGACAAGATGTGTGTAATATATTGTAAATGCAGAGATATTATTTTTGTACTTGTACATATGTGTGAATTTAAACACTATCAAGAAAAATGTGTTCTGAATAAAAGGAAGTTTATAAAATATCACATCTGTTACGACTTTTTGTTTTTTTTCCTTCTGTGCTTCACCGCCGTTTTAAAAGTGACTCAAAGTGACGAGGAAGACGGTCATCGCAGAGACTTGTGAAAAACGCTCTTGGATCAGTCTGGGATTTCCTTGTTTGGTCTGAGTCACCTCGTTGAAAGTCCCTGCGCGACATAAGAGGAACACTCATTTGGCCCTGACTCTTTTACAAGGAAGGGGAAGTGCCAATATGTGCCAAGTGGGTTCCAGGTAGCGCAGCCATCACAACTTCGTAGAAGATCTTCCCCAAAGACACCAGTAATTCCATTCCAATGGCGGCTACCTGAAGGCATCTCAGAAGATGCCCCTGGCTGATGAGGTGTAATGGTACTGTGTAGCATGGAGGAGTGACTCCTCATGGCTGTGAACATGAACTGAAGAGCAGGGTTTATTCCCAAGAGACGTTTAAACTATCACCGCATTGAGAACTTAAAAGACATCTAGTTGCATTTCTGCAGCATCAGAAATGCAACTAGACGTCATGCATTTCCTCACGTCAGCTTCATCACAACCATTGATAGTTTCTCTATGCAAAGGGTACGTTTGTTCCACTAACAATACATGTTCCTTGAGTGCAAGCAGCCTATTTCTGACATACCAGCAGAATTGTTGAGAAAATGAGGTCTGCAGCAGGTCATGTGATTTCAGTCAAGAGCCACAACAGGAAGCTCGGAGGTTGAGCTCTGCACACACTTAGTCTGAGAAACATTTCCCCTGCTGCCAAGTTCAAGACTAAAGTGTCAGACAAACAGGCCAGCAGTTAAAGACAAAAAAAACACATTCCCACGTGCTAAAATAATCACTACCGTCACAATAAACAGGTATCGACAGCGGTTATTTTACTTGAAAAACATTTTTATTACTGAATGGGAGAATGCACAGCAAACAAAGAAACAGCAGCTTGTCTCCGCTCAGTCCCGCTCCGCCAGGGACACCAGGTGAACGTCCACTTCGGTCTCTGTCAGGATCCTGAGCGAGGGGACAGGGAGGAGCGTTCATCAATAAACAGCAGACCCCCAGGGGGCTTTGGGACCTCTGACATGGGCAGTGGGGAGAATCACCACTTGAGCCGTTGCTGATTTTGAAAGTTGAAAGAAATGAGTTTAACTGGAAAGGTTGTACTCTAACTGAGACACGGAATACAGAGCAACGCGTCCCTGCAGCGAGACGGTGGGGACGGTGTCCTTTAGAGACATTTTGCGTCGTTCATGTGTTCATTGTTCCTCTACAGACACCTGTAGTCTGCGGTTTGTGAGAGCCAGAATACTTGCTTGTTGGTAGGGGATCAAATATAAAAATGTAAATATTCTATCACAGAATAAACTTATCATTACAATTATAGCCTGTTCATTTCCTCGTCTGTGGGCAATCAGCAAGGGATCAAATCATCATTTCCTCCGCTGATTGAGAGCGAGTGATTGTTGTAGAATAACGTGAGGTGACCATTTTGTTGAGAACAAATGCCTTGATTGCTACAGACATACAGACCAATAGATCAGATCACCATGTATTGTGGGTAATTTACCTGAACTTTGGGTCCTGCGTTGTGACAACGCCCACCTCGATCTCAGAGGGCTTGAAGTCAATGGAAAGAATGGTTGACAGACAAGAGATGGCTGTCTGAAGGGCACAGAGGTTGAGATTGTGTTCATGAAGTTGAACATTGTACTTAATGACTTGCTAAACATTCATTTAATGGTAAAACGAGAAGCCCCACAGCTGGAAACCACCTCTAAAAAAAGGTGACTTTCACATGCTCCTTCCTCATCCATGTGGAGCCTTTTCAGTACCTCAATAGTTTGTGCAAAGGTCCAGTCAAGTTTCTTTTTCACTTTCTTCTCCAAGAAGCTGGTGGCTTCGGTCTGCTTCACGCCGGCGGCCGTGGCCTTGAAGCCGCAGTAGTAGCCTGCTGGGTCGCATTTGTACACTTGGGGGCCGTGCTCCTCGTCTATGGCGATCATGATCATGCCTTCAGGAAACGGCAGACGGAGCAGCGTGTCATTTGGATCCGGGGTTTTTCCGGCAGACAGTTTACCGTCATGAGTGAAAGGAGGATAAAGGGACTTACAGCAGCCCAGCGGTCGCATCTCAGCATTCTGCGTGTACACTTGTGATACGTCAGCAAGTCTCTTGCACAGCATGTCCACTGGGATCTCGTAACCGTACTTGTACTTCCAGTTGGCCGCCTCGTAGCGAGCGCGCTGCACTTGGGACCTGCTGTCAGCTGGACGGGAAGAGGGGGCGGGAAAAGCACCGGTTTTAAATTTGTCACAAAGTAACTGGGAATCTCTAATGCAGCGTCTCAATGGTAACCAAGAGGAAGCGGTTCTCATTTGTGTGGAAAGAGGAACTGTCCGCTACAGGTAATGCTGTGACTGAGAGGAATAAAGATATCCACGAGACATCATCATTTTCTATTTAAAAAGAAACTGCCATTTTTTTTTTTTTGAACTAAATTAAACTGCACTATTAACACTAAGATCAGGATGCAGAGAACCTTCACACTTCCACTTGTTACTGTCCTTCGTCACGCCCCTTTGACATGTCACCTGATTTTTGATCTACACTTGAAATCTGTCACATTCTGTCCATCCTAAAAGTCTGCAGGTTGCAGTTTTTTTCTGAGGTTCATTCCTTTTTACCCCCATTGAACGTTTTTCTGATGGGGATTTTTATTCCTGTAGCAATGTGATGGTTCCAGAAGAGAAGAAGTTGCATGTGTACACAAAATAAAGCAGTCTGAGGAAAACTTGTCATGTCTGATTTTGGGCCATACGAAACAAAACAAATTTAATACGGAGATTTAATGTACTCGCCAAAGCTTACCGGTCATCCCCGACATCACACATCCAATATTATCGGTTATTCTGAAGAGGTGGGTCACTGTGGCCGAATCCAGAAGCTTGTCCTGTAGGGATTTTATAAAACATTCATGAATGTGTCATAAAAGGGACGGCCGCCCCGTCCCCTCAGGGCATTACTGCATCCAACAGATGTAATAGAAGAAAGAAATGCCTTGGGTCTTAATTTCATCCGAATGAAATAAAAATCAGTATTGACTCAAATATTTGTATGGACATTAAAACATTTGTTTTTGAAAAATAATGAAGCATTTTTTTCTGCTGGCAAACAATTTTTGGGGTCGTAAATTGTCACTATTTTAACAGAAATATCTCGTTCACACACAATATAGAAATCTCTTGGATGTGAACTACTTTACCAATAGTCAAAGATTAAGTAGCCACAAGTGGAAGAGACGATGTGTGAATATGGACACTACATTTATCATATATCACGTTGCCATGGCGATTCCACAACTGCTTTCCGTTACCAGGTAACAGTGAGGAGAGACTCACCGGTACTTTCTTTTGTGTTACAACAATCGCACAGTCCTTCCCTCTGGCGGCTACTGACGTGAGTCCACCTTGGTTTATGGCCTTGAAAGCATATTCTGTAAATAAAAACACACAACAGGGTGTTTTTGAGTTCACGTCATCCTCCGAAAACGCGAGTATGTAAAGTAGGAGTGAGTGTAGGGAACAAGCACAACTCAACATGTACAAACATTGTTTGTGTGGGCCGGGATCAGGGCCATCGATCAGTTAGCTTAACACAATCAGATGGTCCATGTCCACAAGTTAAAAGCCACAGAGACAACTTCAAAAAACGAAAGTAGTTGCTTTAAAAATGCTAAAACGAGATCAAACGTCATCGCAACATTTCGGCCGAAGGCAAGTTGACTGCAGGGGCTGTGAATCAGCTCGCTTGACTGCAATGCTACGTATGCTAACGAGCCAGCTAGCTGCCGTGAGACGCGCTTTCTGTTCAGAGGGATAATGAGCAACGTGGACGTCAAAATAACAGCTGGCACAAGACCAGCTCGATCCGCTTTATATGAAACTACTTTCGCTTTGACGGCGTTTCATTAGTCAGCTCACGAGTAGCCAAGTTGACAGCACGAACCATGACAGAGCACTTGGCTAACGCTAGCTAGCTAGCAAGCAAGCAAGCAAGCGAGCTTGCCGGCCGGCTTTCGAGTGCACAGGTCCGCATACTGACCGACTTGGTAAAGTCTTCCTTCGGGGGAGAAGATGGTGATGTGTCGATCGAACCCTGCACTCGAGCCTCGGGACATTTTACGAGGTTAAGCTGCCCCAGAAGTTCGTCCAAATAAATTTGAAAGAAGACTTCACGCACAATTTCTAACCCGGAAGTTGAATGATGAGCTTCAAACTGCATCCGGTGTGAGAGGCCTGCTTCGTTGCCATGGTGATATAATAACAACACGCTGGATCTTCTGCATGACTTAGATCTCAGTGCTTAGGTCAAGTTAAAGGAAAGGTCATTTTACTGCTATTGCTCAACAACGACGCAATTCTAAACGCTTCACATAAAACCATTAAACGCATTCAAACATAAAGCCAGGAGGTAAAAACGTTGACTCAAACATAAACAAACAATAAAAAAATACATATATTATTAATACTATATTAAATATACAAAACAATTTGCAGTGTAGCTCCAAAATTCAAAAGGCAGAAATGGTCAATTAAATGCAGTAACAAACAGAAAAGTATCTCATGTGGATTCAAACGTGACTCTCTGGGACGTTGTTCCAGATATGTGGAGCAAAAAATCTGAACGTTGCTTCTCCATGTTTAGTTCTGACTCTGGCAACAGAAAGTAGACCCGTGCCAGACCTGAGGGTTCGTGGCGGTTCAGGTTCAAGGTATCAGCAGATCAGAAATGTACTTTGGCCCTAAACCATTCAGTGCTTTATAAACTAGCAGCAGGACTTTGAAGTCAATTCTTTGTTTGACAGCACGCCAGTGTAGAGACTTGGTTCGTGGTTTTTAACATCACTAATGTAATGTAATAAAGACTACGTCTATTCCATGTTGTCTTTTGTTCCCACTACATTTAGCAAATCAGCTGACATTTCGACCGCCCGGAACCAGTCCTTCATTCGATCATTAGCACCTGTACTTCTCCAGTGGAATATAAAAAATTTGCCCCATGACATGACTCACTGGAACACTGACCTGCGAAGGTGCCATCGTAAATGTCATTAGTCACCTGTGCTTCCCCTGGGATGACAAGGCAACATTTCTGCTGTGCAGAAGGCCTTCACCGCCTTTGCCAATCTCAAACATTTTTTCCTTACACATTATTGAAGCCAGGAGGTTCATTTTGTAATTATTAGTATTATTATTTCACTTTTAACATCAGTGATACATGGGAATGGTTTAGCCTAATCAGCTTCCCTTTTCCAACATGATATCTGCGTAAGCCGCACAGAGAAATCCAGTTATCCCATGAAGTTAACTCTTCTCTATCGCACGACCAGCCAGGTGGAAAAAAACGCCGTCTTTAAAATAAAACAAGCTTGATTTTTTTTTTTTCTTCAATTCTTGGAATAAAATCACCCGATGAGCACACAATTCCCATTTCCTTGTTCCTGCAAAAAAGAAAATGTAAATGTGAACGTGTTGCTGGGATTTTCCCTCCGTCCCCGACTAACTGCTGCAGCTGCACACAGCGCGTTTGCTTCCTCTTCATAAGTTACTCACACTTAGATAATGACTCACGCGGCCACTCAAAGTGGAATCATGATCAGTGATGAGCAGTTGAAACTAATTTGCCCAAATGCTCTGCAGTGCCAACAGCGATTATCTTCTCTATTTAAGTGTTATGCTCTGGTTTAATAACAGAAAGTCCCTGTTCGGTTTCCTCATCATTATGCATTTATATTTGACCCTTTATCTGAAATGTGATACCATTGTACATCGTGTTTGCAATAAAGCTTTTGACAAAACTGAATGAATCAAAAGATTTATACAAGCACGAGTAGATCGTAGATCATTCCGTTGTAACATCAGTGAGATTAGTTTGCATTGCTTTGATATAAAGGATAAAGGTGTAATGTGCTTTCTGAGTTGAATAAATGACTGAAAGGCAAAGCATAAAATTGCCAAAACATCCGCACTCGCCCTTTGTGCCCCCGTCGCGTTCTCTTCCCCACCCCCGCTGTCTCTCCACACTGCAGTCACATGTGCAGCCAGAAAGACCCCCACCCCCGGGGGTAAGAGACGCAGCGTGGGACTCGCTTCTGGAGTTATCGGGGGGGAGAATCTCTGACATCAATGGAAAACCATTTTTTTCTGTCTGATATTTGCTAAGCTAGTTTAAATAGAAGCAATCTGATGAGGCTTTTCTCTAAAAAGAAGTTTAAATCAACTATTAGTAGTTTTGACTCATTTTGTATTACCAGCTTTTATTTTCATAACCATTGATCTTTTCCACGAGTGTCCATTTCTTTGATACAATCTTAATCTTCTATTTATTTTGTCGATTCATCTTGTTTTTACAGCACACATTTTTCTTAGAAATTCTTATCTAAAGTGGATGAAGACGCAGCCTGGAGGCCGAAGGGAAGTAGGCTGGGCTTCTGTGTGATAACAACGCCGTGTGCTCGCTTCCTTTCACGACAAATTTGCAACAGTATTACTTGTAAATTATCTAGCGGTCGTTTGCAACTGGAGCGGTTGCACAGACGCCTCAAGGTGTGGCGCAATTAGTGGTTTCACCTGATTCTTGAGAACGACGGCTGGGCCGGTGAGACAGCGCGCACCTCCAGGCTTTCAGAGGCTTCGCTCCTCGTCTACAGAACGGAGGCCGAGCTTCTCAAACAAACACACGCCTGCTCTGTATTCACATGCAGGTTTATTTAGTTAAGACAGGCTTGCACGATCTTGATATTGAACGTTGACTCTGCGCAAACCGCCGTTTCTTTTGAAAATAGTATTGGCGCACACAAGTGGAAAGCACCGGCTTTAATTGTCTGCAGCTCCTCGAGCTGCTTGGCTCCCGCGAACGAGCTGGAACGCCAGCTTCAAATGATGCACTTTGTATTTAGGGAACTAATACTAATACTTTAAGGCCTTTCTGCACTCATTTAGAATATATTTGGATGATGACCAGTCAGAGCTGCTGTAAATATCTTCCACTTAAATATTTGATGTATTAAGAATACAGAAAGACAATCTTTTTTTTTGGAATATCTACAACTCAAATCATTCATTCAATCCACACGTAGCATTGAAGGCCAATAAGTTACCTCCATTAATTAATATCACCTCCTCAAAAAAGTTAACTCCACAAATATGTAGAATAATGTCACAGTTTGACCAAACATGAGATCCGAACCTGCAATAATCTACTTCATGACTAGAAATGAACACACACAACTAGTCCAGTATAGAATACCATACCGGGCAAAACATGTTTAAAATGGGACACTGTCCACAGTCCTCTGGGGTTTGAGCCCCGCATACCTACGTCATCATGAAATGTAAAAAACAAATAAATTAACATTTGTTCACTGATTTGTGATAAAAATGTAATTGTTGATTTTTAAAGTAATTATTACTGACTTTATGTATTTTCCTGTAGAGGTGATCAAAAGTGAGATAGAGGCTCCCGAACCAGTTTCACACTTTAAGGTTCAACAGGACGTTTCTGAATGATTTGCACAAACCCACATCGTTTTTGGCTTTTTCACCCCGGTCCAATTACAAAATGACTCACTTGACATGAGAAAAACCCTCACACACACTTATGCATTCATCGAGTGAGTGTCCAAATTGTATGCAAATGGAAAAACATGCCGTCATCAAGCTTATCGGGTTATGTTAGATAGTCAAACAGGATTAGCAATACTTTAATACCTATTTATTCCTACATGGACAGTCACATCGGGCAGATTTGGAAGGAGAAAAAAAGATCAATATACATCGGATTGTTCGACATAATAACAAATACCCCATTTAGAGAAATAATGAATTAACAGACCTATAATAGTAATATTCTTAATGTCTTTGGCGCCTTCCTCCTCCGGATGTTTTACTGCACCCTGGATATGAGCTTACGTGCAACATCGGGAACATTTAGAGCCGGATTGAGGATAAACTGGCTCTTCAAAAACTGCCCAACAACGGTAAACGTAACCTTCAGCTCGGCGGGATGTTGTGAAAGATGCAGGAATGTGGTCGCAGGGGACTGATAGAGTGGAATTTTCTGCTGGGAATTTCCCACCAGTGTGTATGTGTGTGTGTGTGTGTGTGTGTTAGCACATGCATGCAGGTGGAGCAGCTGTTCTTCTGAGTGCGGATAAACAAGTCTCACAGACTCCGGCGCACGTCTCCTTTCAAGGAGGTAAATCAACGAGTGTTCTCAAGTCGCCGGTCAACTCTTCTTTCAATCAGGAGTCATTGGCGAAGGTTATACGTTTAGACGCACACGCCGTTCTCCAGCATCGAACCACTCTGACTGGTTCACACCTTTTCTTAAAAACCTCTTTTCACTCCAGTTGCACGAAGCGCCTCACAGGTTACATTGCACACGCATGCTGGAAAGGCGCTTCACTCGCAGTGCTTTGACGACGTGCAGAGCCTGCGTTGCTTTTGATCGCCCGCTGACCTCCAGAGGCACTGTTAGTGTCTGCGTCTCTTCCTTCTAAAATCCCCCCAAAATTTCCCTCCGCCCAATATTTCCTTCTCGCCGCCAAGATAATGCTTTTTTTTTTTCAGGCCTCCCACGATACTGTGGAGCCGCTGCAGCCGGTGAGCGGCGGTCACCACCGGCCATGTGCCTACCTAATTGCTTTTCCAGTGCAGAGCGGAGGGAAGTTGTTGTGAAGACGAGACGCGGAGGGCTCAGGCGGCGGGAGGGGAGGCGTGCAGGGAAGCGGGCCCAGATGTGCACAGTAGCAGTCGGCCAGGCGCACATCTGCAATTGTTTTGAACTTACTGGGGGAATTCCTCGCTCGCTGCATACATTTTGTCCCAGTGAATCCTTGGACCCGGGACAAAGAGTCGCTTGACTGCCTCCCTCTGTTGTTCCTCTCATGTTCCCCCCCCATGTGTCACGAGCCGTTTCCCCCACAGACAGACAAAACCGGTCTGGGCTCCTTTTGTGTTGAGGACATTTAAAAGGGAAGATTAAAGAGCCTTTCTGTAAATATACAGCACTTTGCATGAGGCGCAGAAACACTGAACATGACCCTGAATTTAATGCCGGCTTTGAATGCACCACACGTGTGTTCTCTTGCTTGCATAGAAAGCCTCCAAAAGCTGCAATTTATTTGAAACATTTCTGGAAAGCGGGTTGAATCTGACTTACAGGGCTGAACAAATGCATTGTTTTGCTGCATGGGTTGGCCAGAACAAAACG